AAAATGGTTTTGGATCAATATATTTAATTAAAAGCCTAAAGATATTTTGGTAGGAGGATAAACATGAACCTTATTGGATAAGGATAAATGTTTTAAAAATAAAGATCAAAAGCCCACATGTTAAATAACTTCTAATCCTTAGAGGATTAAGAAGCAACAACTATGAGTCCTATTTAGGACAAGTTACCGCCCATCTTTTTCCTTGGAGGATAAAGAAACTCTCCTCTATAAATAGGAGAAGAGAGATGCAGAAACTAAGAAACTTTTAAAGGAGAGAATTTGGCAAAAGAGAAAAGTTCTCTAAGGCAAACAACATAAAGGAAATAAAATGAGCAAATAGTTTTCTCTTAAAATTCCTAGTACATGCCACTCTCCTCTTCCTTTTGGGTTATCATAAAATTACTCGGATTAGATTTCTATAGGAAATACTAAACAAATCAAAAAATGTGAAGCTAGCACTCTATCAATTTTAAGTGCTTCTTTGTGGTTGCTTGGATTGCATGAATAATCAATAGAGGTCGAATGCTTGGATGACTTCTTTCTTTGTAAAAGAATTTAGATCTACACTAAAAGATATAATTCTTTAGTCATCCTTTTAATTCATGAATATATGGTTAGTTGATTCAATGACATGATCTTGTGCCCTTTCAATGGAGGAAAATTTTATTTTATTTTATATCTCTATAGGATACATGATCCTTCAAGTATGATAAAAGTCTATTAATGCTCGTTTAGATTCTCATTTGGACTAGAACTCACCATATGCATAGAAAATTATGGAATGTCCTTCTCATACCTCCTAGTGCATAAGGTAAGAGGCTAAATTACTCTATTGGTGATTTAGATTGTCCAAAAACTTGAAAGGAGTTTTAGATTAGATATCTTGCTTGAACCACTAGAAAAGTTAGATCCTATCTACCGAGATTGTCCATTTAAAACTCAAACTATCTATAAATGATGTCAATTCTAACCTTTGTTTATGCAACTTATCTTCTAAAAAAATCATGATAGTGAATGAGATTGAGGATTTTAAAGCTAGAGTAGAGTGGGCCCAGTTTATAGAGGGAGACTATCTATCTTTAGATTTTATGTCGAAGCTGTAAAAAAAAACATAAAAAAGGGTACTTACGAACAACGAATATACCAATGAAGAGGAACTCATATAAGATTCAGAAATCTCATTGCCATTGCTGCCTCATATTCTGGTCTAAAGCTATGGGGAGTAGAATAAGGATCTATTATGTAATAAAAAAAATCATGAGCATTATAATATGATCCAAGTGGTTGTAACGTTTGATCATTGTAATATAAATCAAATAATATTCCTATCCTTTAATGAAAAATGGCTCTAAGTCACATTTAGAATGTGTTAGAAGTTTAAATTTCAAATTATTCTCTGTATGTTATCACTAGATGTGGTTAACATTTAAGGTTCTAACCAAAAAAAAAGAAATCCTTTCAAAGATAAATCCGATCTAGGGTAGGCATGCTTTCCAAATCATTCATGGAGTTGTATCCTCAACGAATATTAAAAAATATAATTTGGCACATTCTTAATACAAACTCTATCATAATTTAAAGATTTACAATGACGGAGTAACATATTTAACCTAATTCACATCATGTATGTATATATTTACTATATATTTACTCTATATATCTCATTTGAGTTGTTTCTTAGGATCTAAAATATAAGTTACCTCATCAAAACCCAACTCTCATTTTGGATACACTACACTCAACTTCGGTGATGCTAGATGGAAAATAAAGAGAGAGCATAATGGAAATATGCCACTAATAAGAAATTGACTATATAAAGGGAAAAATTACCCGTTTGTCCAAATTATTAAAAAAGGCACTATTGGAATTATCGAGCGATAGGGGCATATCAAACCAAGGCCAAGCTCGGAGTTGATCTTATCGTATACCCTTCTAATGCCAAACTTGTAACTTAAGCCATCTATGATTCCACCCATTAATTTGGGACAATCATATTTTTATCTAAAACATAATTCCTTACTAGGCTATTTTTATATACAATGGGTCCACGAGTTCCATTGATGTAAGTTACACTCATTGTTGACATCACTATTTAAGAAGTTCATAGGAATAAGGTAATAGAAGTACTTAGTTCGGACTAGCTATTATTAATCAAAGAATAACTTAGGGCTACCAAGGGCATCGATATACATGATTCAATACGAGTTACTTGAAATAAGCATAATATAAAAGGTGACGATTCTTAAGAAATTCAAATATCCTAAATTCCTTAAGTATATGGGTACCTAATGTCCAATGACTCACCTATAAGTATATAGTAACAAGATGGTTGAAGTTATGCATGATTAGTCGCTGATATAATTTTTTTGCAAGAGGTCGATTGGATCCGTTTTGAGTTGGTATATACAATTAGACAATACAAAGATCCAAAGATAGAAGGATCCGGTAGATTTTTTAAAAAAAATAATATAAGTTCAATATGGAGGTTGCTTCAAACCGATCCGGTTAGTAAGGTATAAAAAAATGCACAAAAGAAACGCCTCCGTTTAGGAATATGCCTAGAGGTGGCAAGAGGTGACAGACTTAAATTCATCCACCTCTACCCGAACAGGATTTGATCACTATTTTCTCAAATACTTTTAAAATATCATACTTTAAGAATTTAATTAAGAACGCCTCCTTCTTTAACCGACATTGCATCATCATTAGGAGGATAGAACATGCAATCAAAGCTCGGGAAGTTTCTTGATGGTTTTAAGAAGAAAAAGAATGACAACACCAAAAAAGAGAGTGAAGTATACCTAATTAGGATCGAATTCTCAACTCAAAAATCGATGGAGTAATTTGGAAAGATATGGCAACCATGAAAATCCTAATAAACATCCAACATCCAATATCTACCCAATACACATCCAACCTAACAACTACAATAGCTAGCATTTTTCTAAACCTAGATACAACCATATCTAAAAAACCAAATGTAAGCATATCCAACAAATCAAGCCTACCGATCAAGCCTACCAAAGTAACCAAATTAATCCTACTAGTCATGTCTACAAAATCAACCAAAACAATCCTATTTACCAAATCAAACTTACCAAGTAAGTTGATTTCCGCTAAAAAGCCCCAACATTTAAGACCTTAAACAACTACCACCTCAACCTTGAACAAGTACCTCCTTAATTCAATCTTATATTCCTCTCTCATAACCGATGACAACAATAACATTCTCATAAACCATACCATCTATGACATTTCCTTCTTTCAAAACTACATGCATCTCACTATGCTTTTACTCCTCATGATGCATGATAGTAACCTCTTCATTCAATGCAATATGAATCATATAAGGCTTCTACATATCTTCATCATACCCATCAAATGTTAGTGGTGAATTCCAATCAATAAAATTCATAATTTCACCACATGCAATATTCTTATTCAAACATTTATTTTCATGTAATACACTCAAACTATATAATTTTACAACATCCTCTATCTCATTCAAGTAACAAGAAGAAGGAAGTAAGTTACCTTCGATAAGCATCTATAATTTTAACTACTCTTTACTCAACATCGATGTCAAGGTATACTTCTTTCTAAAGTGAGTCAGCATATATGTGCTCTTATAACTATTAAAAATAGCCTACTTATCAAATTTTCATGATCTTTCTAAAATTATATGGTGTATATTCATAAGAACTACATCACACCATATAAAATTATTATAACCCAAACCTATGACAATGTATACTTTGCATTTATAACTTACAATCATTTCCCCACCTTTTCTAATCCAAGATATCTAGTAAGGTATGGGATTTTTTATCATAGTCACTCATATGTCTTCTACTAGGTCTTTGTCTATCACATTCTTACTTGACCTACTATGATGAACTCAAAAGCTCCGAGCTTTCACCTAGATATTGTGAATGAAAGCTTTTGGTTCTTTTCTAATCTTCATATACATCAACTATCCTTTCCTCCTCAAACATTGTTAGAACTTCTTTTTCATCGGCACAAGCCTTAACTTCATTACTCGGTAACCATGACTCCTTATTTGCTCTCATCCACCTCAAGTTGTTCCTTATCCGAACCATTCTCAACCTCGGGCTCTTCCACTAAAGTAGTAATCCTATGGTTTAGACATTCTAAAACTATATGTCTCATACCTAAATACTTGAAGCACTATCTAGGTTTAGTTATGGAACCTATAATGTTTGATGTAATGGTACCACTAGGCGAACTCTCTCCCTCAAGCCAAACCTTTTTAGGGTTACACATAACACTCCTAATCAAAGCACTAGTATTGGTATTGCTGTGGTTGGACCATATTTGCGATGTTCGGCCTTAATCCTTCCAAGAACCTCGCCATAGTGTATTCCTCGGCTTCTTCTATGTTTCATCCAAGCTCGAGTTATTTGCGGTATAGTCTTTAATGCTAAGTGTCACTTGCTTTAAGTAGTGGAAATGAAGAAAATTATATTGTCTATAAAAATCGAGTCTACTATTTGTAGTTGAGCTCTTTCTTTATCCTATCTCACTTAGTGATTTTAAATTTCCCTTCGTGTGCTCTCTTTATCTTCAAGTTTTCCAACCATAAAGTAGCATTCTATATCAACTTGATGGTGACAAAGTTGACTTTCTTATTTTTAAGCACATCCCAAAAGTCAAATACCTTCTCCACTTGTTGTAGCCACTTGACAAATAGGTCATAGTTCAACTTGCCCTTAAATTAATGGATCTCAAGTCTCACTCCATAGTCTTGGAACGTTTGTGAGTCTCTTTATGATCTCTTAACTTGGGAAGCCACCTCTTTTTCATTCAAAAATTCGACATGAATGTCATGGAATGAGTTCTTCTCCTAATTGTCTTTGGGACTCCCTTATTCACCCATAAATTCACATCTCTTTTTAGACCAATTAATAGCTTCTAACCCATAATTTTATCATCGATGCTACTCATTATCTTGTTGCAATTGTTTAAGTACCCTTTGCATGTCAAGCATAATCATCCAATTCATCGAGCTCTTTTTGGAGACATCCCTTTATTCGGCCAACATATAAATGAAAGCAAACTTTAGCTCTAATACCAAATTGACGTCGGATTGAGAGATTCTGAAGTCAATTGAAGTTTAAACACATAAATATAAAAGAACACCTTTGGCTGAAACATACTAACAAAAATTCAGCCACTAAACAACCCCAAATAATCAACAAACACACCTCAAGTAATCATTTAATATTTATTTATTCAAATCGAGTATATTATAAAATATATATCATATTAAATAAATAAACGTTAAACAAGTCTAATATACAAAATTATGAAAGAAAGGACCATCTATTATAAGTTGTAAGTTTTATACTAATAATTTCTTAATTTTATAGATTAATCATTTAATATTCATTTATTTAAATCAGAGTATATTTTCTAACACTAGATAAGTAACTTGTCAAAGCAATAAGAGAAACCTTGGCATGGTTTGGATATCCCTTGGTTCCTTGTATTCATTGTTGAATGGTTGAGATTACTTTTACAAATCTAAAGGCTACTACTATTTGACGATTTTTTTTTTTTTAATAGGGCAAAAAATTATACAAGGACCCTGTTAATGAAACAAAGAATACGTATAGACTGAATACAAGTGAATGCGTTCGATTTTGACATGATACCGAAGAAAGCCTTTTCAGAAATCTAGATTACTCGGAATTAATGTTTGAAATTTTCTCCGACGCTGTTCTTTGATTCATTCAGTGTGACAGCAAAAATTGAATTAAACTTCTTTCCGTGGGATTCTCTAGCCACTTCTATCATTCTCTTTTGCGTCGGTTTTTAATTTTCATTAAATACAGGAAATATTGCAAAGACATCAACAAAGACTGAAAGCAATGTTTGACCAGAAGTAAAGCCATCGCTATTTTCCTTTTAACAATAAACAAAAGGTAACAAGGTCAATATCCGTACCTTTCATGACTTCACCATGCTGTCGCTTTTCGCATAATTACATTCAAAAAAAATTTAATCTTTAAATGGATACTTCCCTTTCAACATTATATATTATAATTTCACATCTCAATAATTTAAAGTATGGAAATTAATAAAAATTTTGTACATAACTCATACCACAAAAAATGAAATCCAAAGCACAAAAGTATATATATTTGTGTGTGTATGAAGAAACAATAAGGATTTGTCGGCTAAACCTCATCACCTATACTTGCACCCACCCTCAATAAAATTAGTTCCATTTACCAACACTTGGTTTGTACAAATAAAAAATTGATCTAGCCGAGTCGTGTAACTCTGATACTTAATGAATCTTATATAATGAAATTATCTTTTTTAAGTTAGATTCAAAATACTTAAGTCCTAAAGATATATTATTTGTATTTGACTTGTATATAAATACAAACTAAAAAATTATTTAATTATATAAAGACATATTGAACCAATAATCTTAACTAGTAATAAAAATACATCTAAAGATGATAATGGAGGAATATCCGTTTTATTAATTTAATTTTTTACCCTACTCATTACTTATAAAAAAAAAAAATTATCATATAAATCTTTATCTAGCTCATACATGATCCACTCTATTTAATATCATTTAATAGTTGCTAAAATAAATTTATCAGAAATATTTATTTAATTCCTTATAATTTTGAAGAAAAGTTTTTTACACCTTTTTTTTTTGTTAATAATTCATTTATAAATTTTTTTTGTCCTTAAATTTTTTGAAAAAAATATTTTGATTCATAATTTTTAAATTTTATGCAATTAGATTTTTGTATTTTAATAAAAAATAAAAATAATTTAACATATGTTAATTAAGATAAATTGTGGATATCCATACTCTAAAATTATATTAATAGATGTTCATTTTATACCTGAATCATTGTAGCCGCTAAATACATGATCAATTGAGAAACATGAATATTCTCCATCTTCAAATCTTAACCAGAATCGTATAGCTGATTTCAAGATGGTATCATGAACAAATCAGTCGGTAAAAGTAATTAGAGAAACCCAATTAATTTCGTAAACTTCCACACTGGTTTTCACCGACAAAAATTGATAACAGATTTATCAAATTTCAGGATTTAAGAGAATTGAAAGCAAACACTTTATTGATCACAAGGGCACACCGTTATAGAATAAAGTAAATGCATTGACTGATGTATGACCATTTCAGAATAGTACAACTCTAAAATGATTTATTAAAGCCGCCTTTCTCAGCTATAAAAAGGGAACTTCATGGTTTGGTTTTCCACATCAAAGCCGTTACAACCAAATAGCAAGAAAACACAATGTCTTCGCAGCTTAGATCAGTCTCTATTTTGTTATTGTTCTCAATCTTTTCCTTCATAGCTCACGCCACAGCTGTGACCGTCCCTCTATCTTCCACATTTAAATATGTGAATGAAGGAGAATTTGGGGACTATATTGTAGAGTATGGTGCAAATTATCGAGTCCTAGACCCATTCAATTCCCCTTTCCAACTTTGCTTTTATAACACCACCCCTAATGCATTCACCCTTGCTCTACGTATGGGTACTGTCAGGTCTACTTCAACAATGCGTTGGGTGTGGGAAGCCAACCGAGGAAACCCTGTTGGGGAAAATGCCACCCTCACCTTTGGAGAGGATGGAAACCTTGTGTTGGCGGATGCTGATGGTAGGATTGCTTGGCAAACCAACACTGCCAATAAAGGAGTGGTTCACTTCCAAGTGCTCCCCAATGGTAACATGGTACTTCAAGACGTAAAAGGCTACTTTATTTGGCAAAGTTTTGACTATCCCACTGATACCTTATTGGTGGGTCAGTCTCTTCGCGCTGGAAGTGCAGCTAGGCTTGTGAGTCGTCTCTCTGAGAAACAGAACTCGAATGGAGCGTTTAGCCTGGTGATGGAACCCAAAAGATTGGCCATGTATCGAAAGAGCCCAAGCTCCCCAAAACCCAAGCTCTACTACACATCTGATAGGTTTAGTGTTAAGAATGGTCGTTTACAATATGTGACATTCCAAAGCAGGCCCGTGACAGATGAGGTATTTTCCTATGATCTGAGTTTGGAGTTCTCTACTGGAGGGAAGACCATACTCGCTACACCCAAATACAATAGCACATTGTCATTTTTTCGACTTGGAGCAGACGGAAATATCAAGGTCTACACTTACAATGATAAAGTGGATATAGGTGCCTGGGAAGTCACCTTCATTCTCTTCCCCAGTGGTAAACCTTGAGTAAGTAAGCTGCTCGCAGATGCTACTCATATGACCACTAAGGTAAGCGTAGCCTGCAGTATGTTTGTAATAAGCAAATAAAACGAGGGTACTGTTATTTCCTCCTTGAAATAAAGATTGTAGTATTTTTGTTCTTCTTACTCTCCGACTTTGTTGTAAGCGAATAATAAAAGATATTCTTGTCTTTTCTATTTCTTACGTTAATGAAAGTGCACATGCTTTTAATATTTGTCCCAATGGCCAGTGATTGGTACAGTTACTTGAGGCTCTTACATTAATTGTAATAACATCAAACATATTTAACCGTTGAATGGAAATAAATAACAAATAAACAATAAACTTGTAAGAAAATAAGAATGAATGAACATACTTCTCTTGAATTGAAAATTTTTATTTAGCAAGATTTCTCGATTGAAGTTGATCGGTTTCTCTTAAACCAATCAAATGACACTACAACAAAAAATACATATAAAGGCGGAATTCTTGAGGCGGTTTTATAAACCGGCTCAAAGTGTTTTAGTAAGTACTCGTTATAAAAAAAATGAGAGGCGGTTTACAAAACCGCCCCAAATTTTAATCGAAGCGCGAGTTTTATTAATGAAAGAATTTTTTATCTTTATTTATTTTTATTTTTTTTGTTCGAAACGGCAAAATTAACCTCTTTCATCTTCCCCGCTCTCTTTAGGGTTTTCGAGCTTCTCCTTCTAAATTTGCTTATTCGATCTCCTCGATTTGTCGCGTCCTTCTTCTCTTTGGCTTCCTCATTTTTAATTTTGTTTGGTTCCGAAAGGGGAAGATCTTATCGAGAGCTTTCCTTCGACTAAGGTGCTTCTTCTCTCCTTCTTCCATCTTCCGATATGCTTCTTCTTTCTTTACCTTTATTTTTTTTTTTTTTTTGGTTTTGAACGGGAAAAGAACGTCACATTATCCTTCTCCTCTTAGGGTTTTTCTTCTCCTCGCTACATTATCCCTCTCCTCTTGGGGTTTTTCTTCTCCTCTCGTTTATTCAATCTTCTTCTCTGCTTCGTGCTTCTTCTCCTCTCGCTTATTTGTTCTTCTCCTCTCCTTTGTCCTTGTCTCCTTTTTGTTAGAAACGAAATTATAGCTATACTCTAAATCAATTGGGTACTCATTGTTGATTTTATCATTGATCTCTCGCAATGGTAAGTATGCTAAGTTTAATTTTGTTCCTATCAATTAGATTACCAACTCTTTTCTTCTCTAATTCCCTTGAAATTTTCAATCTAATATGCTACTCGTCTTATTCTTATTTTGTGACTTAAAGCTAGAGCATCGTGGAAGCAAGAGTGTTTGTCTTCAAAAGAATTCTCAAACTGGAGAAGGATCGTTACTTTGAGTCCTAAAAGCATCTCTCGTATCCCAAGGAAATCCTAAGGTAATGTGACTTCCTATTAAGAAACTTGCTTCAAAGAAGAAGTTTTCAATTCTTATCCGAATTGTTGTGTCATGGTTAAGTACTTAAGTTCTACATAGATGTTATACTTCAAAGACACCGTCAATGATCTTATTGTGTCATGAAATTGCTTGTCCTAATTAGTATTTTGAATTAGTATGTTGCTTGTCCTAATTATCAAGTTCTGCCTAGATTGTGCAATTTTGTACCGAGAGCCCGATGTAAAATTGCTTGTCCCGAAGATTGGGGGATTATGAATAGAACAAAATGGATCGGTTTAGGGATATGAATTTGCTTTAAAAAAATAAGTGGATTGTGCTAAGAACCATCTATAGTTGCTCGTACTCTAGCTCCGAATAAGCACACCGATGAATCATGAGGAGGAAACCTATAGTTTTGATGTTTTCTATTTGGTTCCGTTTGCTTGGGAATTCTTGCTTCCTTCGAGAATTATGGTCTCCAACGCATGATTCCTATATATTGATTTAACATGCAAGATTTTAAGTATTCTTTGATTGAAGTTGAACCGACCTTTATTCCTTTCACCTATGTGTTCTATTTTTTTTTTTTCTGTCTAGTCTCTTTGACATTTAAAAGCAATATGGGGATTCATTCTATTATAGGTTTGCTGAGTTAGCGGGAAGTGATTTTCATGTCCTTAAATATTTTGTATCCAAGCTCTCATGTCCGAACCTTTTCTCGCTTGGTAACATTGTTGACGATCCAAAAAATTTATTTCCTAAACATATTTGTTTTTGATCTTTCAAGCACACATTAAGAAAACAAAGTAGCTTTTCCCGAATTACAGCAGTATAGTATCGCACGCATCGACAGAGGCACTTAGTAGTATCAACGAAGGGCTTGGCCTTAGTGCTTTAATGTGAGTGTGTCTCGTTGGGTTGTGATGCATAGTCTAGTATTTTGGATTTATTAAAATATGTAGAGTAATTAAAAACGAGCTCTCTTTTGTCAATCCACTCATTTTCCCTTCTTTTGTCACTCCCTTTTTCTTCTACTTGTTGCTCTTGCTCTTCCTCTTTGCAGCAGGAGCAACTCTACGAAAAAGAAATGGCTTTTGTAGCTCTCTCAAGTCTCCGACCTGATTCCTTTATGCATGTCGAGTACTAGCCCAAATTATATCAAGTTGGAGTTAGATAATTTTGTCTAATGTAGTGGGCTTGAAAATTATGAAACTCAAATCTTGTAGAGGAAAGACTATGAAAAGAAAGCATCGGAGTATAAATGGAAATGAAACCATAGCACTTCATTGACAACTAACAATAAGGAGTTAACTAGAGTGTAAGCATGGTGTATAGAAATTGATAAGTTAGGGTAATCTTAGATCAAGATAGGATAAGGATGAAGGGTTCATGATAATTGTTGGTGCTTGGACTTGCTGGTTTATCTGCAAGCAAAGCGGCCGCATGTCCTTTGGTTTCAAGGTCATTGTTCTGAAGGTAGGAATCGTCCTAATGGGAGCGTTTATACTCAAAAGATGGGTAGGAAGGGTCAATTTGCTGTCGTAGATCTTGGTGGCAGTGTTATAACCGGTATCCATGCCAATCCTCTCTAGGCTATGTTTGTCAAGATGGATGGATAGGAGGAAGAATAGATTGGATAAGGTGGAATGGGAAGAAGAAAGGAAGGGACTATCCATCTAGTTGTTTGGCTAACAAAGGAGGAGAAGGATGAGAATCAATCCATCCAAGTTCACGAGCATTGAAAGTTACAAAAACAAAAAGAAAACAAAGGAAACGATATGAACCAATTCGTCCAAATTGAAAAGATTAGAAGGATCCTTTTGATCCTTCCTTGCGTCTACATTCTATTGCCAAACAAATTGGACAGCCAATCCCTCCTCTCTCTTCCCTCTCCCTTCTTCCAATCTTCCTCTCATCTCTCGTGACAAACACACTGCACGCAAAGAAAGGTAGGGAGCGAGATACACCACATACTTCTTCCATCCAATGTCACTTGTATGCTCGATAAAGTTAAGGTTTCTTGGAATATCGAGAGTGTATGAAGTATATCCGTTAGGAAGAAAACAAAAAACACAAAGTAAAGCCATCGGAAAATCAAACTGGACTTGCACACGGTTCAAGTTAGCTAAAAAATGGCATATGCTAATAGCAAATTTGATACTTATTGATCATGCTAGCCTATTAACATAGAGTTTTGACCAGTAGAATAGATTTTCCCATTCTCTTTTTGGGTAACGAAAAGTCCTAAATTATATATAGTTGTTTATATCAACAATTAGGGAATTCAATGCAAATAGATTTCTAGGTACTCCCTTTTTCCCATTCTCTTAAAATATGAACCAACAATCATTTATATTATTAATATTAACATATAAGTATATATATAATGGGTGGATTTGCAAACGATATTTCTCTTGGTTCTTTCCTTGGAATATTAGTAAAAAAAAAAGGAATTCATGCACCTTTGAGCATCCCACGATGGGATTGTAAGGAGTTTGGTGTATTCAAGAAGAACCTTATAAAACTTGTAAAGGTAAATTCTTTTAAGTTGCTATTACTTTTTTACTACTTTTAAACTCTCTTAATTTCATATGATGAGTTGGTATTTTGATTTTGAATTTAGAGAGTTTCATTTATCACTTACATCATAACTTGGATATATATATATATATATATATATATATATATATATATATATATATAGATGGAATTGCTTTAATGTTAGTAAACCTCTAGAATTCTTTTTGTTAGAGTTCTCTATCAAGAAATTAAAATATATATTTTTTTATATGTTTAAAAGGAGAAGTTTGACTTTCCCGATATTGCAAAGAAATGGATTTTGGCGTCGTTAAACAAGAAGTAAGGGATTTTAAAAGTGACTTGAAAGCTGAGTTTTTTGATCCTAGTAAAACAGCAGAAGAGATCATTGCCTCTAAAGAATTGCCTCCCGGTGCCTTGATAGATCAATGGTCTACTTTGGTCAATAAATGGTTTACTCCGAAAGCCGGGTTTGAAATTATTTCATATTGTAAGTTGCTTTCTTTTACCTATTTGTATGATTTATAATCAAATGTGTTTTTTTTTTTTTATGTAGAAAGCAAGTGAGGTAAATACCGCAACTGCTAACAAAAATAAATGTGCACATACATTAGGCAGAAAAAGTTGTGCAAGGAAAAGAAGAGAAATGGTAATTTTAATAATTTATAACTTTTCATTTAAATATTATTTATGTATAAAATAAGATTAAATATGTATAATTGTTTGTCGGAAGAAAGGAATGGAAAGGAACTTGATAGGTTGACATTGTATGAAGCTACTCATAAGAAAAATGATGGCACATTTGTGGATGACAATGTTAGGCTAAAAATGGTACTATCCTTTTATTGTTATTTATCTATTGTTGATGAATGATATTTCATTATTCATTTATTTTGAATGTACTTGTCTTCATATTTATAGGAAAAGGCTCGTTCTCTCCAAGTCGAGCGTTATGAAGGTTCCTTAATTGCTAGTGTTAATGATATAAATGAAGAGATTTTTCAAGAAGTTATGGGTAAAGAACACAACGGTAGAGTTAGAGGATTAGGCTTAGGTCCAACACCAAC